TCCTCCTCTTCCTCCTCCTTCTCTCCTTCTTCTTCCCCTCCTGCCATCACCTCCTCTTTCTCCAGATAATCACCAGCACCACTTAGTCTTAAATCGTATTATTCACATTTATCTATCCCTGTAGCAGCAACCCATGTTTTAGCGCTGGCACATGTAAAGTAGGATACACCGCGAAAGGATTTCGTTGTAAATGTCCCCCAGGATTCACTGGGGAGCTCTGCAGCAAAGGTAAATGTAAGAAGTTCTTAAGTCAAAAATTGAAGGGTTGAAGGTTGTAAATCCTCCCCCTCCCTATGGGAGCAGGAGAAGGTTAATCTCTACCTCCCCCAGATTACCCAGCGGGCCAAAATCAAGGGGACGCTGCGTTAGGAACCCTCACACCCCCGTGCTTCGCTATCGTGGGCAAGAAAATCTCGTTCCTCATTGGTGGTGGAGGCTGCACTGAGGATTCTGTTCGTGCAGAGCTAATTGTGAATAATCAGGTACAGAATCCATCCTTTATGATCAGGCTGATTTAATGTCATGCTATTTGTGGTAGCCCTCACACACTCTTGACTCAAGTTTAAGGTGTCCTTGAATGCTTAACAAAGCTGTCTTTATTTTGGTAATACTTTAAGGGCATATTTGATCTTTGAATTTTGATTCTTTGGGGGCGATTTGATTTTTGAATTCTTGAATTTTCAGTTGACTTCAGAGGAAAATCCTTTTCTATTGATCCAGTGGGAACTGTATAAGTTATAGTAATGGAATTCAAGAAGTTATTTATCATTTGCGGAGGGTTATCACAGCAAACTTTGTTTTTCCAGGGAGATCATAGGCAAGTTTGATGTCTTCGAGGGGAGTAATATGAAACGGCTCGTTCTGCGCAAAGTGTCGAAGGCGCGCGAGAAAACCACAAATTATCACAGGCAGTGGGGAACGGGGTGGAGCTAATGGGAAGCTAGAGTGGAACGTCAGTCAAATATTTATCAAAGGGAATATTTAAAGAAAAGATGATAGTCTTGTAGCTTTCTCTTTCCCCTTGCAAACTTGCAAACTTAAGAGGTGCCAGCTCTCTTGGACAAGTTTTTCCTGTCGTATGTCTTTCCGGCTCACTGCCTAACAAAGTACAGGGCAAACCACGACCTATTCATTCATAAAATTTACAAAGATTACTCCTCTCTGGGCCACCTCCCTTAATGCGGCTCGTCAAACAAACAAAAACCCTCCAAACCGCCTGTGTAAACAAACAGAAGAAGAGCGAGAAATTACCATATTGTTTACAGGTTGTCAGGACCGAGGTTGGTAACTGCCAGGAGACGATGTATCGTAAGAGTTGGGATGTGCAGGACTTGATTGGTCAACATGCTTGTGTCAGGCTCATTGACGAAAACCCTGGCGACATCTCGTGGGGTCACATCAACTTTGATGACCTCACAGGCGATATTATTTGTCCACAAGACTGAGGCAAATTTCAATTTCAAGGTTGTACTAGAACATTCCATGTAGTTAATGAAAACCGTTTTATTTTACATGGCTTTAAAATAATCACGGGCAATTTTGTGGAGGGTTATGACGGGGATAATAGACCCCCCTCTCCTCCACCCCCCGGTTAAAAGAAAAATGCACAATATTCATATATTTAGGCAATTAGTTTGTAGTATTATTGTATAATTCTGAGAGTGTTGGACACAAAAGAAGACCAAAAATATAGTGATAGGCCCAGTCTGCATTGGGCTACAAGACGTCCCATACCATTAGACTCTAGCTTTTAAACGACTAGGAGTAATTTTCCTCCCAACTGTATATAGCATGTTAGTCCATCGTAAGATTTCCTTGAGCATTAAGTTCACCGACACCAAATTATAAACCTGGGTGGAGATGGTTCTGTGAGAGTGAAGTGTCACTCTGCCCAAAATACTACATAATGAGCCCACCCCAACCTCCAATCCGAGCTAATTCGGAGTCCAGCGCTCTTACCCAGGCCACCACACTACCCACAAAAATAGACACTAATTTCTCTTCCCAAATCATGACTGGAACTCTCGCGCGGTCGAAAGAAATATTGTTTTAAAACCACAGGATCCCTGATAAAATAATGCGCTATCGTATTCCAGTTTAAAAACCGATGGCATTTCCTGCTTCGTTCATAATTATGCGTTGATAATTATAGAAACTAGAATTAAGGCACATCTCCCCCGAACGCAAACAACAGACGCAAGATTTATGTTAATGAACAACAAGTCTTCCTTTTGATTGAATATACATTCCCTCTTTATTTACAAGTTTCCTACCCAACTTTACACGAACGTCAACTTATGCGCGGGTTGTATGATTTTTGACCTGAGTTGAATAAAATCTGTTTTAAAGTACCTAAAATAAAAGCAACAGTTTACGTGGGTTCGTAGTGGTGTAGAAATACCAGTCTTGAGAGCTGAACAGGTTCACGACAAAGCGGGCATTCAGGCTAGAATAGAAAATACAGATCACTTCAATTAGAAGAAGTCACAAAGTCGAGTGAATGAAAATAATCAAGTTACTAAAACCCAGGTAAAGTTGGGTCACCTCGTTTAACCAGTACTTTTGAGTACTTGGGTTAATCACAACTTTTCAAGGGCAATTTGGAATAGATAGGCGCGTCGAGTAAATTTTGCAGTGTTTGAAAAATCTTCAGTTCCTTGCCCCCAGGAGGGGGATTTCGCCAGAGTTTGGAAAAAAAAGTGCACAATTCCTCCAAATATTAAGTGATTTACTGATAATAATGCCCTTGTAAGTAAACTTTCTTTAGCCACGAGCTACACATTACGTTGAGTACTTAGCGCTCTGATCGTACTTATTAATATCTTTGAAAAGTTTCCGAAAGTATTCACAAACTAAAAGACCTTCTGATGGGTTTAAAAAATATCTGGAACTCTTAGGAAGATTTTCGGTAATCTTAAGAATTTTTAGGACCATCTTCGGAATTTCCGGATGACGTTCGGAAATTCTTGGAAATTCTGAGAACTTTCGTTGTTCTTCGACAATCTTTGGAAGTCTTCGGAAGTCTTCTATATATCTTCGGGTCTCCAGGAGGGCTCAGGAGAGCTTTAGGAATTTACGATCTTCCGAGTTTCGTCATACTAACGTTGGAAGCCTTTGCTGTAATTTACCCTAGCTATGCTATTTTGCACTTTTCTGCACTCGTATTACACGAAAGCTGCACCACTTTTTTTAGCCGATCATAATTAAGCAATTTTTTTATACGTGTATTATCAAATGATTTGCTGATCGAGCTAACATTTCCACTCAAGTCGACGGAAGTCACCGCAAAACCGACCAAAAGGTCTTTGGTTGTTCTCTTTTTTGTATTTAAAGGTTCCGTTCTTTGTTTTTTCTAACTCGGTAACCATAATCGTCTTTTTCATTCGAGTTGAGTGCCTAGTCAATTATGACTTCACAGCATGCATAGCCCTGTGGCGGTCTCACCTTGCTGCTACACCATTCAGTAATACAGCTCCAACAAAACAAATGGCCACACGGAGTTGCACTCTTGTCCCGCAGTCTCTCCAAGCAGAGTGCACACTTCAAGCCAGGCGTAATAGTGGCGCTTGCTTGTGTTGTCTTGTCTGTTGTTACAAGGCTTTCTAGCGACTTGCCAGATTTTAAATGCTGTTAAAAACGAAGAGACAATCATGGTAACCTTGTTAGTAACCTTGTTAGCTCTGTAAGGACTGGAGAGTCAACAGGGTCACCTTGACGATTCTTTCCCAGAAAGGGAAAGGGATAGATGTTAGGCTGCGAGCTATGTAACTAATTAGTACATATTTGAAAGGAAAAATTGCAGAGTTGTAAAAAAACACCTAGAAATAAATGCTAAATCATTTAGATTTGAATTCTCTTTTGCGTCATGCAACGTCTACTCAGAGGAAGAAAATGCAAACGAAAATGTGAACAAAATGGTCCCACGAAAAGCCAGCCTGTTGAAATTCCTACGGTTACGAGAGCGTTTTCGAAAAGCTCCGTTTTCGTGACGGATTAGTGTGAACGATTGGCGGCCTAACCGTAGAAATAAAGCTGCGTTTTCAAATTTCTCCGGCGTAGAGTGGACGCTGTCTTACATGTTTCTTATCGCGTAACGCCTCCACAAGCATCAACGTTGTGGAATACGTGACGAGAGGCAACGGTATTGGCTACTGCGCTGATATCTCACCTGATAGGCGGTCAATAAGAGAGTGATACTCAGTTGAATAACGGACAGATAACCAAGCAGGCGATAAGTAGGTCTGGAACCATCATTTCTGAGACTGCTTCGAACCAAGAGCTGGAAGCCAAAGATGAGTTTAATACGATGAGCATCATAATGCAGTCAAACCTGCGATCAGGCGTTCGTTGTTTACCAAAAAAAGAACGTCTGATTGCTGGTCATAAGCACACAGGAGCCACGTAATAACAAACCAAACAAACATGTCAAGCAAGCAAGCTAACAAACAAACAAACAGACAAACAAAAAACAGAAAAACAAACTCAAAATAACCGATGACGTTTATACATGTAAGAGTAATGTACCCGGCTCTTATTTAGAATTGCAGACAAATAGAATAACCTGTTTTATGGGAACTTGTTTTCCAGCAATTACCACTGGAGTGTCGCAAGTAATGCACATTTTTTCTTAGGTTTAAATTTCTACGCTAAGCGATTGGCTCAAAAAACCTGTAATCAGTCCAATCAGAAAGCCAAATCTAATAGTGGCTCCGTCGCACACGGTAGGACTAAAAGTGTCATGCACTGCGCATTATTACTTACATATTGGACTCCAGTTAGCCTTTTCGCGATGTGATAGAAAACGCCGTTCAAATAAAACAGTGCTAAGTGTGCTCTATGGACATCTGTAAATTAAAATACAAATGTGTGTTAACAATTTTTTCATTACTGAAGCTTATGTTATTTATCAACTTGAAGTAAATGAAGGTACATTAACCAAATTAACCAAGGGGCTGACGCTCAAAACACCAGCTTCACCAGTCCGTTGTGGCAGGTATCTTTATCGACTTCAAATTGACAAATAGCAGGTGTTTCAACTGCCCGATAATGTAGCCCAACAGTTTCTTTTAGAGTCAAACCACTTAAATCTTAAATCCGGGTAGCAGCCGTTTCCGGCTTTTCTTTTCCAGGCGAAGGAGCTCCCCTGGGGTGAGCAAAATCCCCCCTGCTCCTTATTTTTCGCATTCGCTGGCAGTTTCGTTCCCTTCGCGTGCTTTTTTGGAAACGTCTGCTACGCAGGCTAGCCTTTGATCGACCGGACCCTCTCTCTATAGCACTTAATGGCGGCAGATATACGCTGTACTTACAAAGAACCACAGTTCTAAGAATGGGAATAAAAGTGCATAGCAGTTCTCTTGTCCTTGTATTAAATCCTGCAACAGATTAAAAGACATTTGGTGATGAACGTATTATAAGGGTTCGGAGCCACTAAATTCGTAAAAATTTAAAAAAGAGTTGAACTTGCGAGAATTTAAGGCAGTTTTATCCCACCATAGCATAAGTGCTTGGAGGTAATGGAAACCATTAGGAGCAACCTTAAGTTCTTGACCCCTGGGGGGTGGGGGGGGGGAACTCCCAGAAAAATCGGGTGGGGGTGTGCGGCCCGCTTCCCAAAACCCTTGCCCTATTTATGACCAAAATCTGCGATATTCCCTACCCTNCCGTCTCAGTGTTTGGAAACGTGGCCAAACCTGGTGTTTCATCTTTCACATATCATATCAAAAGATTGACACCTGACTTCTTCTCATATCAAATTCTTAACCCTTTAAGTCCCGGAGAAAAAAACTTATTTTTCTAAAATGATGACAGAAGATTGAAAGACCACAAGTAATATATTGGTTGAAAGGTATTGTTTGGGATATGTCCTAAATCACCACAACAGGTATACAAAATGTCACAAATTGAATTGAGGATTCTGCAATGTAAAAAAAATGAACACATTCAAAAATACCTTATTTCTTGTATATATTGGGTACACCCCTAAACAATAGCTTAATTTGCAGCTCTGAGTGCGCAGATTTTTATCAGATATTCACTTGACTGTAAAATTGTAAAGTGCAAAAGTTTCAAAAACTTGAGGGGTGGTTAATCAAGTCTGATTCAGGAGGCGGGTATGATTTTATGCTTCCAATGTGAAGATCTCTCGAAGATCCTTTTGTTGTCCAAATTTGAAATGAATTGGCCAAATATTAAGCTTATTATAGCATTTTGTGCCATATGGCATTATCAGGGCATAAAGGTTTGTGCCATTAATAGCACTATCGGGGCTTAGAGAGCTTTTAATCAGTTTAGGAAAAAGGAGACAATAATTCACAATTTTGAATAACCACCTACACCACATCACAACAGTGTACATGTAGTATTTTAAAGTATTAATAAGAATATTTACATGCATTTCAAGATTACATATTTGCATTGACGAAACACATGTTGATTTATTCCTTAATCTTTTAATAACTTACCAACAATGAGGGAACCCTTGTTTTACTTTTGTCAACTTGAACAATATTACAGTATTCTTCTCCAAGAGTTTGAAAACCTTCAAGGACAAAAATAAGAGGGCCCCATTGAAAATTGCCCCAGGTGGTGTTGGGTTATATTCTATGTATATGTATATAGTGTACATTACTTATCTAACAGCATTACATGCTGTTAGATCTTTTGAACACTGTTTTCCTATGCACACTTACATGTAATAAGTAATGTACACTGTATGTAAAATTTGTAACTATGTAATTCTACGTGATTCTTTGGCCTGTTTCCACGCTCAAAGATGAACAGAAAGAGGTTGTTGTTCATCTTCTTCGGGTCGAAGGACTTTGTTACAATTTTGCTGACTGGCTTTGGAAAAAGTCTGATATATCAACTCTACGCAACGGCAAAAGAAATGCAAATGGTGCAAATGTTGTTGTTCTCATTGTTTCACCACTCAAAAGCATCATGAAAGAACAAATACATGTAAAAGAGATGGAAGAGCTAAGGATTGCTTAAATTGTCTTGTCAACAAAGGACAATGTGCTTCTGCCAATTGGAGAAGCACAGTACAAGCTTTTTTCAGTGCAGTACAAGACATTTGGATGCAAAATTCCAAAACATGTTGAAAAACAACTTACAAATATACCCTACTACACAACTGTGTCATGCTTAGTGTAACACATTCACCTTTAGGCTCAACAAATAAATTTTCCATTGAAATATGAGGCTTCTTACTAAAATTCCTCATCCACAAGTCANTTGTCAACTTGAACAATATTACAGTATTCTTCTCCAAGAGTTTGAAAACCTTCAAGGACAAAAATAAGAGGGCCCCATTGAAAATTGCCCCAGGTGGTGTTGGGTTATATTCTATGTATACAGTGTACATTACTTATCTAACAGCATTACATGCTGTTACATCTTTTGAACACTGTTTTCCTATGCACACTTACATGTAATTAGTAATGTACACTGTATGTAAAATTTGTAACTATGTAATTCTATGTGATTCTTTGGGCATGTTTCCACGCTCAAAGATGAAGAGAAAGAGGTTGTTGTTCATCTTCTTCGGTCGAAGGACTTTGTTACAATTTTGCTGACTGGCTTTAGAAAGAGTCTGATATATCAACTCTACGCAACGGCAAAAGAAATGCAAATGGTGNGTTATTCCAAAATAACAGACATCAGCTAGAAGCTCCAACTCTGCTTTCCATTTGATCCAAGAGAATGGACCTTAAAATTAATATGTTATTGGTGAATTACTTAAACTATATATTATTTTAGTTGAAATTTCCATGAATTACAAATTTCGACAAGGACAAGAATGACAGACTCTATATTAAAAAGAGAATGAATTAAGTTTCACGTTTTTCTTTGTGCGGGAATCTGTTTTATCAAGGGATTAATTCTTAACAAAGAGTAATCAACGAGTTAAAAAATTATGTTCATTATCCAGCAAAGGAGATATAACGTCAACATACAAGGGCATTTCAGTATATTTAAGTAAAGAAATTGACAGAGCACACCTCGGAAATTCCTGTAAATTTGTCCAATTCCCTCTCTCAAGAAACCGAGATAGTACACATCTTTTTGGTTCGAACGAACGAGTTCCGGTTGCCCTGCACGAACAAACATTTGTAAACGCTTGTTGAAGAGTTATTCTGTGCATGCAATCATCGCGTGGAATCTTTTAGAGACATGCTGATGCTTCATATTGGACTAACAACCACAACCAACATCTCCGCCATTTTGGGTTCATGTCGCGGAAGACTGGCGCGAATATGAAAGGTACTCTTTCTCAGGTTCTCTCGAGAGAACAACTCACGTCGAGGTTGTTTCAAACTACTGCAGCTTTGCTTGAGTATAAAACATCTTTTCAAGGTTTTACTCTAGCCAGGGAAGATTATAGAGAGAATAGCGGCTCCACAAAAGTTATTTCCCTACTGCTACGTGTCAGCCTTTCCATAAGGTTATGAACAGTGGTAGCACGACTTTATTCTGGCCCATACAAAAGCTTGGCCAGATTTTTGTGGCCCATTGGTGACCAGATTAACAGGGCTCCACTGTAGTTAATTTTTTCCAAGGTTTAAACGTAATTTACAATTCAACTCAGGAGCAGAATCCAGAAGTCAGCACGGAAAGACACCAGCGGCAGCCACTTTTACCCTACCCAGCAGCCATGTGAACAAACCAGACCAAAACACTGATCCATGTCCCTTACTTTTTGAAAAGCGCAAATCACTGGTGCAATATCAACTACTGAATTAGGGCCGGGGGAAGACCCGTATGGTACCAATCACAGAAACCCAAACTAAGCTAATTCAATTTCTTATGGTAATTTTCTTAACTCACCACAAGACAGACAAGTGAAGGATACTCAAAGAATCTACTTCTGGGCTATGGGAATGAAATTCTTTCCGTACCGATTTTGCCTGCCTGCTTGGGTAGCCAATCATACAGCAGGAGTGGTTAATGATCTTCCCAGTTTGCAGTAGTTGCCACAAGGACGAAAATAAACCCAGACAGTGCCTGTACATTATACCTATAGCCTATTATGCACACGGACAGCCTTTTTTTTGCAATACTTGTCCCTGTACTGAAAACAATGTTCCTGTTAGGTTTGAAGGCTTTAGAACTTTCCTGTACTATGAATTTTGGGTAAATGTACCAGTCGCCATGTTTTTCCCTTCCGAGGGTTGGCTTCTTCATTTTATTAACAAAACACACAACACTCACTAATCTTCTTATAGTGGCCCTTTAATGCTCCAACAAAACAAGTCTGACAATAAATTATAAACACAAATGACTGGAAATATAGTACAGCACAAGAGGAGAGTTTCTAGCAAATATTGAACTCTTCACTTTTGAAGTTGTTCCGTGCTATCTACACACACTGTCATTATAGGACCAAAGGTGATGATGCACTCCTGGTTGAGTGTTACATGAAGTATAATACACCAAAATGGCTTCTGAAGGTCGACAAATCTGGCATAAGTTCAGATGTTTACTTTGATGTCATCATCTTCACAAATTCTGCAAGGACAGAGACAAAACAAAATGTATCTCGGAACACTGAATCTTGGATTTGTACAAGTAGACATGTTCAGTGGTATCCAGACACAACTCACTTGCTTGCACAAATAATAGTGTATGATTACCTGGGCTGTGCTCTAGAAGTGCCTGGGTGCCACAGGCTACTAACTTTTGACTTTGAGCAACTGGGAAAGCTGACTTTTTTCATATAAGCCTAAGTGCTGGGCACCCAGGATTTCATGGTTAGGAACCTCTAGGCTCATTGAAATTTTTCTTAGACCACAGCCTTGATTACTGAACTACACGTGTTTAGCTAGGAAGCAAAAAGGGTACTTTATACTCCCAACATAACTGCACAAGTGTCGCACTACAAAACTGTTCTGCCAATGCAAGTTTAACAACAAGCTTCTGCATGCTTCTTAGAAAATGTTTCAACAGTGTTCCTTACCCTCATAATTGACTTGTCCGTCGCCATCGATATCTGCTTCCCTGATCATCTCGTCCACTTCTTCATCTGTGAGTTTCTCTCCCAGGTTTGTCATAACATGTCGCAACTCAGCAGCACTGATGAAACCATTGCCGTCTTTGTCAAACACTCGGAAAGCCTCCTTGATTTCCTCTTCACTGTCGGTATCTTTCATTTTCCTTGCCATCATGGTGAGAAACTCAGGGAAATCAATTGTTCCATTACCTGTTTATGAAAACAAAATGTAAGCAAGGGAACTGGTCATTAAAACACTTTGGAAAAAGACACAAT